ATATGAAAACAGAGCTAGAGCACTCGAGAGAACACGCCTTGCACGTCTTACTCCTTGAGATGTTGCGATGTTTGAACTGGGAAAAATAACCTTTGAAGTGGGCCAAACCAACACTGTCTTACAACTGTAAAGCTAATAGGAGAGCAGACATCCTGACCACAGGACTGGTAATTTCAGACACTTTAGAATCAGTAATCAGCCATGTAGAGCTAAAGAGTGATCTAGCTTGTTAGCACCAATAGAAATTTATTTCTTCTATTTATGTAATTATTTCCTATTTTCATTAAAACCCCCCTTGCTTTTACTCCACAATTGGGATATAATTTGGGTTTCTGTCAGAATCAGTGCCCTCGGATTACCATTCTTTTTTATCTCAAATAAATGTTTGGTGCCTCTCATTTTGGCTTTTTATTTTTAGATTAACAGTCTGCAGCTAAGTTGTTCAGTTTATCCTGTTGGTGTTGGAAAGCCATGTTTTTATAAAACAATTTAGTTACACTTTTTATGATTCAATAAAGTTTTATATTTTTATCATAGAAAATTTAGAATGTAGAAGAAAGGTAGACAGAAGAAAATAAATCACTTATAGTCATACTGCAAGGAGAAAAATACTGTTAACACTTCATTGCATTTTATTCTAATTTTAAAATAACTATATTTTTTATATCATGATGATCATGGGAAAGTTATAAACTTTTTTCTCTTTTTTTCAATAGTTCAGAATCTCAGAATTCTAAATCAGACCATATATGATAATTTTATGCCTATTTTCCAGAGAAACTTTCAAACATTTTAGTTGGAAGGTGAATTAGGAAAGAAAAAGGAATTAAAAACAGATAATATCTGCACGTGGATGGTTCAGTCATTTTTCATTTATAAAAGCTTAATGACTCATATCACGCAACAAGAGTAGTAAAAAATGTTGAAATCCATCATTCCAATTCCTTTGTAATGATAATGGCCTGTATGTGGTTCTAGGCAACTCTGATTTTATGGAAGGAAGGAGAGCATTTTGTAATATTCTTGGCATAAATACTCCAATTGTGCAAACAGAATAACAATGAAAATTGTTAGAGGTCTTCCAACAGGCAGTATATTACATACATCTGATTGTAGGATAAAAAGTTGCTTGAGGCCCTGGCTGGTTTGGCTCAGCTTTTAGAGCATCGGTCTGCGGTCCAGAGAGACCTGGGTTTGGTTCCTGCTAAGGGCACGCACCTCAGTTGCAGTTTGTCCCCAGCCCTGGTTGGATTGTGCGAGTGGCAACCACTCGATGTGTCCCTTTCACATCGATGTTTCTTTTTCTCTCTCTCCCTCCCACTCTATCTGAACAAAAAATGGAAAAAAAATGTCCTCGGGTGAGGATAAAAAAAAAAGTTGCTTGAGAAACACGTTTCTCATATGAGGATTAGAGCGGAAACTCAAGAGGAACAGGCATGAGAAACAGCATGGACCAAGCAAAACCCTGACTACCAAATCCACCTGACAAGCCATATTTAAGTTGTTGACAAGCCAACTTTGTCAACAAAGTGAGGAAAATCACTATAGATTCACTGACGTTCTGAAATGTTCATTTTGAGTCAGTTCACAATTGTATGTCTTAATGTAAATTTTTCCCCCAAAGTGGTTCAGGAAAAATGTACTGATTCTAGCATGTCTAATCATCTCTTCTGTTAATGACTCAGAGGAGATATGTTGGATGGGTATAAAACTCTAGGGCCATAATTTCTCTTCTTACTTTCAAAATCAACATTTATCTAATAAAGATATGGCTTCAATGTTTTCTAGTTTATAGAAAAATAAATGTCTGGTTCCTGAGCAGACACATAAGAAGCAAAATATCATTCTAGGTCTTTCAGATGACCAGAAGTTCTTGAGATTTTACAAGACAAACATAGAGAGGTCTCCAAATCTTTTTATACAATACAGATTCACTGTCCTTATAAACAGTAGAAAAATTTATTGTAAAATAAGCAACTTTGTTTTCCGTGTTATAACATTTTTTTTTCCTTTCCATTTTATGTTCTTTGGTAAAAGTTTGAGAAAGGTTGCTTCAGTGGCTACTAGCCAGTGTCTTCTTTAAAAAAAAAAAAAAAAATTATATGTATTTTCTGTTTTACATTTAGGTCTGTGATCCATTTTGAGTTAACTTTTTTGATGGGCATACTGTTTGTGTCTCAATTCATTTTTTGCATGTGGATATTCAGTTGTTCCAGCACATTTATTAAAAATATTGTATTTGCTCCCTTGTACTGCATTTGTGGCCTAAGACATTTTTAAGGCATGCAAAGATTTAATAAGTTCACCACCCACAAACACTTCCTGAAAAAAAATTTAGATGAGGGCATATGTCAGAGACCTGGGTTCAGTTCCCACTAAGGGCACGTATCTTGGTTACAGTTTGTCCCCAGCCCTGGTTGGGTCATGTGGGAGGCAGCGACTTGCTGTGTCCCTTTCATGTCGATGTTTCTCTCTCTCTTACTCTCTTTTCCTCCCATCCTATCTGAACAAAAAATGAAAAAATATCCTCGGGTGAGGATAAAAAAAAATACAGTTATCTGTGTCCTGGCCAGGTAGCTCAGTTGGTTGGAGCATCGTCCTGATATGCCAAGGTTGTGGTTCAATCCCTGGTCAGAGCACATACAAAGGTCAACTAGTGAGTGCATAAATTACTGGAACAACAAATCTCTCTCTCTCTCCCTATCTACCTACCTACCTTCCTCTCCCTCTGAAATCAATAAATAATCAATAAATAAAACATTTAAAAAAATAGCCCAACCAGTGTGGCTCAGTGGTTGAGCATTGACCAATGCATCACCAGTTCGATTCCCAGGCAGGGCACATGACCAGGTTGTGGGCCTGATTCTCAGTGAGGGGCCTGCAGGAGGCGGCCAATCAATGGTCTCCCGTCGATATTTCTCTCTCTCTCTGTCCCTTTCTTTTTCTCTCTCTAAAATCAATAAAGAAAAATTAGTATTATTTTTTAAATATTTTTTAAATTGATTTCAAAGAAAGAGAAAGGGGGAGAGAGAGAGAAAGAAACATTGATGAGAAAGAACATCTATTGGCTGCCTCCTGCACGCCCCTCACTGGGGATTAGTCCCACAACCTGGGCATGTGCCCTGACTAGGAATTGAACCGGCGACCTCCTGGTACATGGGTCAATGCTCAACCACTGAGCCACACTGGCTGGACAAGAAAAATTATTTAAAAAGGAAATTTTAAATAAATAATAATAAAGTTTTCTGAGTGCTAAATTGACAGTATTAGGGCATATGTATAGTGAGGCAAAAATTGACCCACTTGGGAAATCCAGGCTCTTCCTGAAAAAACACTTCAGTTTTGTTAAATGGTTGGCATACCGGCAGAGGAGACCTTGGCACTGTTTTCCCTCAGTCCCTGCAGTGTATGCCAGCCTCCTGGCACGTAAAGACACTGCAGAAGCCCTACTCATACAGTGGGCCCCAACCTTGGGTCAGTGAGTACCCCTATATTCCTTATCTAGCAGGTGCTTTAGTTAGGGAAGTTCTTAGAATCAGCTCTGGTGGCGTCTGAGTCCCACCATCCTCTCCTACTTGTCCCTGGAGGAAGGAGACAATGTGGAAACAGACCAGGGGCTACAAGGCAAGAACTGTCTGCCATTAACTCTAACACCTCAAAATTGTTTCCAAAAAAAATAAAGTAAAACAGTCCAGAAGGATTGGATGTGAATCCAGGAGGTTCTGCATGTCTTAGCTCAGGAACTATGGGAAATACGGAAAGAAAAGCCGAAGGCTGTTGTCCCAGGGGGAGATTGACGTGTCAGAGACCAGCTGCCCGCTGGGTGCTCAAGGTCAAGAAGAGAAGCCTTCCAGCCGAGCAGGCCTTGAGCCCAGGCAGGAAGGAAGAGGAGAGCCCAGCAGAGACAGGGATCCCCCTCCTGCTCCTTAGGGAACTGCAGGGCCTATTCAAACAGCCTGAGAGAAGATTCTACTCACAAGAAAAATCAAAGACATTTTCTAAGTGAATGACAGTTCCCAGCTCTGTTCTATCCATTCTGCAAAGACGACAGCTGCCTTGATCAATATAATGAACCAAAATTAACTATTTTAGAAGACAGTTTTCAAAAATGCCTGCTGTTCATAGCCTTCTGTCCCAATAACAATTCCGCTGACCCACAGTCCCACTACCTCCCCGCCCCCAGCCCTATGCCCAGTGCTGTTCCTTCTGCCTGAGGAGAGGTTGGGCTGGGGTGGACCTAACCGAAGCCAATCGTGTTCCTGGAAATGATCTCATTGCAGATGTAACCAAATAGCACTGGCTCCACACTTCATAATTGATATACTCTTCAACAGCAATTGCATTTTTCTCCAAAATGTACAGGATTTGAAATAAAGAACATTTTTCTTCAGTTCTTAACTGGACATAAAATAATCCAATTCTGGTGTGTGTGGTCCCCTTACCCTTCTATGGCAAAAACCCCAGGCATTTGTCTTAGTTTTTCCTGAGACAAGTTCTTACAGATTCAAATAAAAAAAACAAAACATTTCAGTAGAAAGCTAAGGGGTACAGCAATCTGGGAGATTTGTGGGTTTTTTTATTTTTATTTTTCTTTATTTTAGAGAGAGAAAGGGAGAGGGAGAGAGATAGAGACATTGATGACAGACAACATCAGTTGGTCGTCTCTTGCATGCCCCTCACTGGGGATCAGGCCCACAACCTGATTTGAAATCAAACCAGCAACCTCTTGGTGCATGAATTGACGCTCAACCACTGAGCCACACCAGCTGGTGGAAATTTGTATTTAAAGGAAGTTTGAAACAGATGCAGTTAGGTTGATAAAAGTCTGTCTCAGGCCTGGGTTAGAGAGCAAAGCCAATGGCTCAGCAAAAACTGCTGAAATGAGAGCCCACTGTAACTCCGTGCGGCTGTGTGGCCCAGGAACATTAGATCCTGTCCCCAAATAGGGCCTTCCTGTGCCTGCAATGAACCTTGCCCTCTGCTTCATATTTGCTAGTACTTTAGGTCTCCCAAGTAGGATTCTGTGTCCTTTCCAGAGGAAAGTAACCACGAATACAAATCTTTGTAGCAAAGGACTCTGAGTAGCTTCTTATCCTTTCACTGGCTTCTTTGGTGAGGGATGGAACTGCAAGAACAAGTAAAGCAAATGCCAGTATCAATCTCCAAAGAGAGAAGAAAACACGCTTACCAAGCTTCCTCTGAGGATGCCAAGGTCCTCTCCTCTCTAGGTACAGTGTGCATCTAACTTCGTGCCAAGGGATTAGCAGACACTCGATGACTATAGCAGTGGTCTATCTCAATAGCAACAGATACTTACAGAAAGGGAGACATGGTGAATATAATTTGGATTGAATCAGCACCAGTCAAGACTTTCAATTTATAGTTATTTTGATTTCACAGTAGTAATCACCTCAAGAGTGATATTTACATTCTATATCAATTAAACATTGATGAGACTTCCTCTTACTTATAGGACCCTTAAGGGAACTCCAATTTTAATGGTGCCACTCAAACAATCAATTTTCTCATTCTGTGAAAATGTGAGATATACAATAGTGCCAATTCATTTAATTCCATCACCATGGAATCCCCTAAGAGAATGTTGACTCTGCCCTTACTTCTGACTTTCTAAATAATCAGATAGACACACAGGACAGGCTGCTATTTGTCACCCCTTCAGTAGGCGCCCTATTTCATCTCTGCCTTAGCAAGCAACTTGATTAAGGTACTTTTGGGATGGTAGACTGTATGATTTACATTGCAAAGCCAATTGGAGTCAGAGAGATTTCAAGGGATAAAACGAGAACTACTTGGAATAACTGGTCCCTGGTCAGGATTTGACTGAGAACGGATCCTGCCATCGTTGAGCTGGATGCAAAGCTTGGTTTAAATCTTGGTTTAAAAAATACCCTTAGAATTGAACATTTCAGGGGCTAAAAGAAAGAAAGAACCTTCCTGAGGAGGCCACTAGGAGCCATGCGAAGGAAGGAGCAGTGACCCACAGTGACCTCACCCAGGAAAAGGGGTGGATCCAAGTTAAGGAGACAGTGACCTCCAGAGGCCACCTGGCATTCAGTGGTGACACTACACCTAGAGCTAGCCAGAGGCCCAGCTCCATGGAAGAGTATAATCAGGCTTTTCAAGAGCTTCAGAAATATTCTTTGGATAGTCAGATAAGAGTAAGAAAAGGGTAGAACTTCCAGGACAGAGAAAGAGGGACATCAGGAGGGATGTTTGGAAAACTAGACCCTCCTGTTTCAAGCCCAGAAGGTGAGCACTTAAGTCAGTGAGGTGGGAATTAGGGAGAACCTCGAGGCCCAGAGAACACCCCAGGCTAGTTTGAGGAGCAAATGGGGGCCCTGAAGGACCTCAGACTCCACCAGAGCCCGCGCTGCCGGCCCCTCCTCTGCCTCGAGCTGAGAGCCAGAAGGGAGAGCACGAAGAGCCCATGTCTGCAATGACGACACCTGGGCGATTGATGGTTAGTTTAGGGCGAGAAGACTGTGCGCCGTTAGCTCAGCATTTCTATGCTATTTGTAAAAAATCTATAGTTTTACATTTCCGTGTGTGTGTGTGTGTGTGTGTGTGTGTTTTAAAGCTTTTTATAAAAGTTTAGTCTGTGTTTGTTGAACTGAAAAGGGATGGATTTGGGGCCATACTTAGGTTTCAGGGTGGCAGCAGTAGATATAAATTATTTCAAAACCATAAATACCCCCTGGCCTGTGTGGCTCAGTTGGTTGGACGTCTTGCCGTGCACCAAAAGGTTGTTGCTTCCATTCTTGGTCAGGATACATGCCCAGGTTTCAGGTTCAATCCCCAGTAGAGGGCATGCAGGGGCAGCCCATCCTCCTTCTGTTCTCACATGGATATCTTTCTCTCTCCCTCCCTTCACCTCCCCTTTCTCACTCCCTTAAAAAAATCAATTAACGCCCTGGCTAGTGTGGCTCAGTGGTTGAGTATTGACCCATGCACCAAGAGGTTGCCGGTTCGATTCCTAGTCAGGGCACATGCCCAGGTTGTGGGCCCGATCCCCAGTGGGGGGCATGCGGGAGGTGGCCAGTCAATGTTCTCTCTCATCAATGTTTCTATCTCTCTCTCCCTTCCTCCTCTCTCAAAGCAATAAAAATTAATTAATTAATTAACACCATAAATATTATAGACCCTTTTCCTTTGATCTAGGCTTTTTTTATTTTTTAAATCCTCACCCGAGGACATTTTAGCATTTATCTTCAGATAGAGAGGGAGGAAGAGAAAGAGAAACATCGATGTGAGAGAGACACATGGAGCGGTTGCCACCCACACAGCCGGGGATGAACTGCAACCGAGGTACGTGCCCTTAGTGGGAACCAACCCCGGACTCTCTTGTCTGCGGGCCGACGCTCTAACCGCTGAGCCAAACTGGCCAGGGCTGATCCAGGCTTTTTATTAAGCACAGAAAGTAGACATATATTTATGAGATTCAAGCATTTTCTGGTTAAGGTCATAACTCACTGCAGCTCCCTAGGTGTCCAGGTTATTCCTTTCCTACCCCAATGGGCTTACAGAATTCTAATTTTTACAGTGTTACAAACTCAAGACAAGTGTCATAGTTTTATTACACAAAATGGTGATACCCTTACATTCAGACAGTAAGAAATGGCTGCAGGGGCTCAAGTCTAGACTTGAAATAGTAAATGCAATTGGGTAGTTTAGTGGTGACAACCCATGGATATGAATCCAGCCAAAGCCCATTTAAGCAGCTGTAAATACAGAGAGTGAGCACAAGAGAGAATGAGTATCAACATATACAAAGAAATTAGGAAGCCAAAATGGAAACAGAAGTAAAGCACACTTTACCATAGGTCAGGAAATAGTGGAGGATGAAAGTGCAGTTGAGCACACCCAGTGGCCAGATTTTGGTTTCTAAGATCATTCTCCAATAAAGAACCAGGACTCCTTGGAGAAGTGGCTGATTCTAGGACGGGGGCACGATGACTCTGGAGTATCTTATAGAGCCAGAAAGTAAGGAGATGCTAGTGAATCAAAACCCCACAGTGACGGCGGAACGTCCAAGCGACAGAGGAGCCAACTGAAAGAGCTTCCAGTGGCCAGAGCTGGAACAATTACAAAAAAACAAAAAAAAAATTTAGTGGTATTGAATTATTACCCAAAGTATAAAATACATATCCATTAGTCCATACTAATATAAATAAATGATTGAATAAATAAATAGGGAGATAGATGTCTCCAATCATGTAGTGCTGCTACGTTGTCTTAGAATCTGGTAGTACCAAGGCCCTAATATTTTGGCACTGGTGGAAGAGAAAAAACTATATGGTTATTTTTACTTCTTTTTTCTTTATTGATTTTTAGAGAGAGAGGAAGGGAGAGGGAGAGAGAGAAATAGAAACATCAATGAGAAATAAAATCAATTGGCTGCCTCCTGCGTGGCCCCCACTGGGGATCGGGCCCACAACCTGGGCATGTGCCCTGACCAGAAATCAAACCAGCGACCTCTTGGTGCATGGGTCGATGCCCAACCACTGAGCCACACCAGCCAGGCTATTTATTACTTTTTAAATCCTCACCTTAGGATAGTTTTCTATTTATCTTCAGATTGAGTGGGAAGGAAAGAGAGAGAGACACACACATCAACTGGTTGCCTCCCAAACAACCCTGACCATGGCCGGGGACCAAACCACAACTGAGGTAGGTGTCCTTGACCAGAATCAAACCTGTGATTCTTTGGTCTGCAGTCCAGTGCTCTAACCACTGAGCAAAACTGGCCAGGGCTATATTGTTATTTTTTATTGTTGTTTTTTTCTATCCTCACCCGAGGACATTTTTCCATTTTTTGTTCAGATAGAGTGGGAGGAAAAGAGGGAGAGAAACATCGATGTGAAAGGGACATATCGAGTGGTTGCCACCCACAAGACCCAACCAGGGCCAGGGACAAACTGCAACCAAGGTACATGCCCTTAGTGGGAACCGAACCCGGCTCTCTCTGGACCGCAGGCTGACGCTCTAACGGCTGAGCCAAACCACCCAGGGCTTAAATTTTTTATTGATTGACTGATTTTTAAAGAGAGAGAAACATTGATTTGTTGTTCCCCTTATTTATGCGTTCACTGGTTGCTTCTTGTATGTGCCCTGACTGGAGATCGAATCTGCAACCAGCCGAGCTACCCAGCCAGGGCGTTACTGTACTTCTTAAATACAAATATAATAATTTTGGCTCCGCGTTGCCTATAGATCTCGTAGGTTTAGGTCAAACTCCTTAGCTTGGCATTCAAGGTCTTTACAATCTGGCCTTGAACCAACTTTGCTGTTGGTTCTCATATGTCCTGCATGTACTACGTCTGTGCGGTTCCCTTTGTTTGGAGTGTCCTTTCTGAGTGTCCTTTACCAGACAAAGTCCTTATTTTAATTAAAGGTCCAGATCATATATTACCTTTTCTCAGATCCTTCTCTGACCAACCCTGCCCCTACAGCAGGCTATATTAATTGTTCCCAATTCAAAGCTATTATGACCATTATCTTATTAGATTATAACTCATATGTCCTCATGCCTGCCTTTTCCATTGGATAGTGAACCCCTTGAGAACCAGAATGCTACTTCACCCACCAAGGTAACCCAGAGCACAACACATGACTGAGTACAAGACTCTCCAAAATATCGAACCGAACTTATCCATAGGTGTTGTCCTATAGGATTTGGTATAGTATTTTATTTTTTATTTATTTATTTTCTCACCCATTGATATTTTTTCATCCATCATCAGGTAGAGTGGGAGGGAGAGGGGGAGAGAGAGAGAGACAGAAACATCTATGTGATAGAGCCACATCGAGTGGTTGCTTCCCACATGACCCGACCAGGACCAGGGATGAACCACTACCGAGATATATGCCCTTGACCAGAATCAAGCCCAAAACTCATTGGTCTCTAGGCCAATGCTCTAACCGCTCAGCCAAACTGGCCAGGGCTGGTATAGTATTTTATTTCTTTTAATTGTTTTTTCTTTTTATTGAGTTTTAGAGAGAGGGGAAGGGGGAGGAAGAGAGAGATAGAAACATCAATGAGAGAGAACATCTATTGACTGCCTCCTGCATGCCCCCACTAGGGATGGGGCCCAAAACCTGGGCATG